AAAAATAAAATATTGATGTAAAATATATATTGTGATAAGATGATGAGTGTTTTTTTATTTCTTTAGCCTTAATATCTTCAAAAAATACTTCTCTTCATTATCCATATTGGTAATATCTCATTATGTGTACAATATGGATATCAATTTGAGCACTCTAGCTTTTCAAAGTTGTAAATAGCTCTTGTTTTTGTGTGAATAAATATAAACTGTAAATAAGTATTAATAGATTATACATAGTATAACTTTTTAGTGAATGAAGTTTTTGAAGAGTTTGCAAATGTTTTTATGTACATACTCATGAAATGATATGTACAATTATCAAAGAATTTGAAGTACCTATTACACATACGTCTTGGCCTAGATTATTATACATAATCATATCAATTTGAGATATACTAAAATAAATTTCATCACAAACTATAAGAACTCTAGTGTGTAAAGATTGTTGTCGCTGTGTATTTTGAATTTAATCTTGTCATCATCATTTAGAATTTCATTCAAATTTCTTTAAATCTAGCATTTCAAAGTGAGAGAAAAAATTTTCACACATTAGATATGAATAGTACTTGTATGAATGTATGTTATATTTTATAAAACATTTCAATTTTAACATATCATTATTAAATCTCTTGGATTGATCAATTTTCATTTGAACCAGTCTATTTGGCTTAAAAAAAAGTACAAATTTATCTTTCATGTTACAAATCTTATAAAAAAATCAATTTAAAATCCATACATCATCAATTGTTTTGATGGATTGCACAAGAAATACTTATGCCATCATAATCCATCTTTGAGCAACTTTAATCATCTTATTTAGCTTTAGTTTTCACACAAAAGTGACTCGTACTTTGGCACATTTGTAGAAGAGTAATTTTTTTAAAGAATTTATTATAAACTTAAATAAAATTTTTAGTTTTAAAAATTTGTATATTTTGTTATTTATTTAATAGTTATTTAGTTATTTATTTCACAAAATTTTTTGTTTTGCAATAATTTCTAAAAGTGGAATCAGTATCTTGCACCACACCGTGAAGAAGGTGTAAACAAGCAAACGTGACAAGGAAGATGACTACTTCAGGCACTTCCATCCGATACCCATTTAAGTATCTTTCCAAATTTGATGAAAAACACTTTCATGCCTAGAAAGATGAGATCAGCTGGCTCTTTCGAATGGAAGGACTGATGGAACTAATTGAAGAAACTGAATTCCGACCTAATACTACCCTGGTTCTACGAACGGAACATTCGAGTCCGGCCCATGGAGTAAGAAGGCATTGGCAATGTTGAACAATGCCATGGAACGGAAAAAACAGCCTTTAATTGCATGCTATCGGATAGCTGCTGAGGCTTGGAACGAGCTCGCCAGAGTATATGAATCAAAATCGAATCCAAATCAATTGTATTTGAGAGATGCGTTGTATTCCCTAAAAATGCAGCTAGGCGAGCATGTGTCAACCATCATCACACAGTTTCAACCCATTCTTGATCAGCCGGCTGCCATAAGATAGACAATATCAGATGAAGAAGCCTTGCTCTGCCTCCTACGAAGTCTTCTTGATGGATAGCAAACCTTTGTTTGCTCCATGCGAATTAGTGAGTGGCTGTCCACACACACCGTCATAATCAATCTCCTGCTTGAAGAAGTACACCTCAAGAAGGAAGCAGCAACTAACGGAACAACAATACTATACATCGCGAAGAAGAGAGGGTGGAATCCCTCTAAGAAGCAGCCAAAAAAATCCTATGACACAGGCTCTTGCTCTTCAGCACAACCAGAATCCACATCAAAACCATCTTTTTCCCGCCAAAAAATGAAATGCTTATATTGCAAGAAGCGCGGTCATCTTGCAAATGAGTGTCAAAAGAAGAAGCAAGAGTACTCTTCTACACACTCTACTTCAAACGCTCAGCATCGGTTGTTCGTCATCGGACTCTCATCAATCAGCGCGGATCCCACATGGTATGTGGATTCGTGTGCCACACAACATATGGCATATAGCCGGAATGCATTTGTAGATTACATTTGTGAATTTCTGAAATTCTGGCTTCTAAGTGCTTCAAATCAGCTCTGACAAGTATTACATGTTCGGTCGATCAAATTTGCTCAAATTTGGAGTCAAATTTTGAAGCCTGATGGGGATTCGAGATCTCTTGTAATTGCTTTCTGAGGTAATTTTCAAAATCTTGATGCGCTTGTTCACGTAAACTATGTCCAAGTCACAATAAATACCATATCAAATGAAGAGAATGGAAGAGATGACATCATTATTTTTTGTTTGAAGTTATAAATAAAAAAAATTTAAAATTTTATTGTAAATGATTGTCTTCCTTTCACAACAAAGCAACACACTTCATAATGATTGTAAGATGCAATGTTCACAAAAATATATAATTTTTACTGAAAACAAGTGTCACCGATAGTTTTATTGAACTCTTTTGTATAATGATAATCTTCATTAACTAGGGCTAAACTAATTCTTGTTACCACAATTATAGAGCTTAACTTCTTACAAAAGCTAAGGATTTGATAGAAGTAAAATGCTAGAATAACAAAGAGATGATTTTTATTTATAAATTTTATTAAAAGATCTTCATTGCTTCCTTTACATTAATGATACATCTTAAAGATAAATAATCATCTTTGAGTCTCTATAATTTGTAACTATATTATTAACCATGTGTTTTACTATGACTCTTCAACTTTCACATGTTTGTTTAACTTTCATATGCAACCATGTATATGAATTAAATCCTAGTTTTCCTTAAAGCTTTCAACACTTCTTCAATGAGAGTGCAGACATTTTTCATGCCGTGATAATCATGGCACTTTTGATCATCAATAATAATTTTTTTTCATATTTGAACACACTGTGATTTTAAAATAATAACATATCCACTTTGAAATAGTGAAGATGTTAGTATAAATATAAAATTTACACTTCATCATGAAAAAGTGATGAGTGGAATGGAAAAGCCCCACGAAATGGAGATTTACTAGCATATAACCTTGCGGGAGGAAGAGTGTAAACTAGTAAGTATGATAAATTCATAGCCTCTGACGGTTAATGTGGAGCTTATTCGTATATCAAGTTAGATAGTAGCGCAAAGAAGAGAACAAGTACCTCCAAGTACATGTATGCCAATGGTCCACCAGCATTCTTCTCCGAAGGTGTATTGAGAACGACCCTCAACCATGGTATCGTTGAAAAGTTATTCGTTTTGAAGAAATACTGCTGCTACAGTCAGGACGTCACTGTGCTCTGTGACATTAATGCCACATGTGACTGTTTTAAGATAAGAACAGGAATGGACTTCCAGTAGAAGACATCACTCACACCCCGGCTAAATCGGCTGGATGCCTCTGGTAGCTTGTCTCAAAACAGATTGAAAGGCGGCGAGTTTAGGCCCGCATTTCATGAAAGAAAGTCATACTAAAGTAGCTCAATGATCTCAGTAACTGATTCTGAAGAAGATCGGTAGCGGACCCGGAACATTGGGCCAACACAAGCCGGGCACTGTCTCACATGTCATCAATGCTCTTCCCCCTCGATGTTTTTCTAGCGATCCGGTTGGGCAGGCGTTGTTCTGGCTATTTTTAACCCCACCTTGCTCTTGCCCTTGCCCGACACGCTTTAGTTCGAGCCCTGTAAACTTCACCTGGGTTTTGAGGTGAGGTAAGGTGATGTGACTGTTTTGGCCGAGTAGAGAGTTCTGGTGTGATCGAAAGTGACCAGAACTTTTCCTGCCCTGCTCAGCTGCGCTTCCTCCGGCAATGGTAATGTAGCTCAAAACATCTGGACTGTAGACTACACAATAATAGTTTTTAGAAATTACGCTCATGATAGAATTTTTCGTTACACTCTGCTTGACCTTGATCACCAAGTCATGGCGACATGCATCACCCATCTCCTGCAGCTGGGCTCCTACGGTCAAATCTTGGAGTTAGTAGCGCCCCAAGGAGTTTTGTTCTTGAGTTAAAACGTTTCCAAAGCTTGAAAGAAGAACTACTTCCTTGATACAACCTCTGCAATTTATGAATTGCCCACCAATTGAAAGATCAGATCGAGGTGGATGAAAGTTTGTATGTTTTGCATAGTAAGATTGGTTATCTTTCGTATATTATACTGTATTTCCCCCCCTGCTATCATTTAGGTTAATCTCTGATATAAACTTCAATTATTAAACTTCTCTTTATTTCGATGACAGTTTGTAAAGATTGTACTCAACCATCACCATCTATTTTTAGAGTCATCGATCTCAACAACACCACAAAGTACTCTTCCTATTGTCAGGTAAAGACGGAAAATGTTTTTAGCTAATTTGGGAAAATGGTAAAAGGTCAATGGTGGATGCTGGTCAACGGGTCAATCCCCTGACGCTCACCTCAGCACGCCCGGAAACTGAGGGTTCGAACTCACTTACCCATCTTAGGAGAATACGAAGAAAGAGTGGAAGGTAAGAAGCCTAGAGAGCTAAAACCTCACCTTCGACATTTTCGGTCAAAGGAGTTGTTGTAGTAGTAGTAGTGGCAGCAGCAACAGCGTTATTTGCTCTTGCCTTACTTCAGCTCGATCAGCTCGGCAGGCATTCCGGCGCGACATCCCTACCATCGTCGTAGAGTTTCATGATGTACGATAATAAATGTATGTAATTTTTCTCCGCATTTCGACTTGCTGATTTTGTGTCGACTTTCTTAGTTGTTGGATTACGAGTTCGTCAGATCGGATTGAATGGAGGCCTGTGATACGGGGAATTCTTTGCAAGAGTGGTGTCGGGAGGATTGAGTTCACTTTGTCGATCGAGGGCGAGATCACTGATTTAGACGTTGCGCGGATTCTGAGCTACTCCCTTCCGCATGCTTCTGGCACTGCGCATTGCTTTGCCGTGCTCCGTGGAATTTGTCTTGTATCAAATTTGGGGGTTCGCTCCTGTTTTTTAGCCTCCCTTTTCTTTTCTTGGCAGGATGTTTCCTCATTTTCTCGAAAACGGTAGTGGCCCTCGGAGCTACGGAGATGAAATGTATGGGGTGGAGTTTTGTGGTCTAGGTCTATAGAGTGCGATCTGTTTGGTGTGCTGATATACAAGGCAAGCTGCAAATTTAGCTGGGTCGCCGTTTTATTAGAGCCAAAACGCAACATCTCATGGTTCTGTGACCCGCAGGTCGGACGATGCTGAAGATTCTGTGGATCCCAAGCCCGAATTCGAGGAGAATTGCATATGGAAATTTGTGAAACAGCTTCTCCTATATATCAGGTTAGGAAAGTCCTCGTCTAGGAACTCTATGACTCCTAGTCTCTTTTCGGGTTCTGTGGAACTGCTGAAACCTGATAGCTTTGGTTGTAAAGAACTCGTCAGAGCTTCTGGTCAAATAGGCGAGAAGAAAATATTGCGGGGCGAGGTCTCAGACTATGGGTAGGTAATTTGAATTTCTCACCCCAATTCCGTGCGGAAGCTGCGGATTCTACACAAACTACTTCGTCTGCGATCACGAAGGTAAACACGTGATGACACGATGCGTGATGCCAGATGCTGTCATCACATTTAGTGTCGGCTGAGGGGTTGGGCCTTTAAGAAACAAGTCTCCATGTGAAGTTCGAGAACTGAATGAACATCCTTTATGTCCGTTTTGAAGATGTGTTATGGATGGAACCTGAAAAGATGAACAGAAAAGTAGTCCCAATTCCTTTTTGGAGGTATTAGCCGGTTAAAGCTCTCTATGACTCCACCCCAAGGGATTGACGATTTTTGTGGTGGGGGTGGTGGGGTTGGAGGGCGGGGGAGAAATTAGTTTTTTGTGCCAAAGGATATATAGTCCTAGCCAATTCAGTCCCAGCCAATTCAGATGGCGGGTGGGAGACTCGATGTTAAGATGCATCCCCGATACCAGTCGCAGATTCTGTTAGAATATGGGAAGAAGAACTCATGTAGTGTGGGAGGGAGGTGGGCACTGAGAGGCCAGAGGGCAGTTAGTGTCCAAAGTGAACGAACGAAAGGTACCTACGAGCTACAACCGGACAGGGGAGGGCAGGGGCAGGGGCAGGGTGGGGCGGGGGGAAAGTGGATGGAACAAATGGATGGGAGGTCAGTGTCGTGATACTCCGGCTGTGAACCTAACGCGGTAAAAAATGCGAGCATAATAACCGGTTACATCACAGAACAGTCCAGAAATAAGGAGGAGCAATAGACGGATGGGACGGGAGGGACGGGGCACCAACTGCGTGACGTGATGACTGCTGCTGCTTCGGGTGTGTTGTGGTGAAAAGAGGTGGGGTCCGGGCACATCGGTTAGTAGGTGGAGGGAGGGAGGGGATGCGTGAAGCCGAGGGACCAGACAGCAGCAGAGGCAATAACGAACCATCGCCGGGAGTGCCATGGAATGTCCGGCCGAAGCTGTACCGGGGAGTACCGCAAGCGGGGAAAGTCACGGACCACAATGTGATCGAATATTCCCCGCATTCGGCCTGGACCGGGCATTTAATGATATGTCGGCAGCGTCCCGCCGGGAATTCGTGCACTCTGGAGTCTGGCCAGGATAGGGTGGGGCCCGATCCGATCAGCGCAGGCACATCAGTGCGTTTTGTCTGAATGTGATGGCCGTCGAGTGAAAATGCCAAGGGGCGACATCTTCGGAGAGGGGGAGAAGAAGAGAACATAACAGAACCGAAAGCAGCGAGCGGAGCGGGGAGTGCAGCGAGTGCCTCTCTGTGCCTACGAAATGATTAGCAGCGGTAGTAGGATCGAAGGCAAGGGGAGAAGGTTAGGGTAATTGCTCTCTCGCTACTCTGCAGCTACTGCTCGCTGCTGCCGTAGGGGGATTGGCGTGGAGTTTCTGTTGTGAGAGAGACGGGAGGAGAGAGAGAGAGAGAGAGACAGAGAGAGCGGGTGGGGAAGCAGAGGAGATGCTAGGGAAGGCGAGGGAGAAGTCCCTTTTGTCTGCGTGTTGTCTGTGGCGCGAGAAGAGGAGAGGAGAGCGGGGAGGAGGGGAGGGGAGGGGAGAGGAGAGGAAAGCGGAGGAAGGGCTCGTGTAGTGGGACGACGGTTTTTCTGTTTTTCGTCGGCTCTGCATCGCGACCTGCTGCACTCCCCTCTGCTGCATTGATCGGATGCGGGACGCGACCTGGAAGGCAGTAAGAGAGGGACAGAGGCAGGGGAAAAGGCGGTGCTGTATGAGGAGGACGAGGGAGGGAGGTGTGGCGGGGTCCTGCCTTTCCTTTCATTGTGCAAGCGAGCGACAAGGAAGCAAGCAAGCCACCTCAAGCAAAGCCAAGGCAAGCGAAGGACGCGAGAGAGGGAGTTCGTTCTGGTAGGGAGAGGAAACAACAACGCTCTTCTACTACATGTCTGCGTTTCTTAGCATACAAGAGAAGAGCTCACAGGGAGGGACGAGAAGGGAGGAAAAGAAGGAAAGGAAAAAGGGGTCGGGGCAGATGATCGCTTTGCGTCGCTTTGCTCCGCCTTCGCCCTCGCCCTCGCCCTCGCCAGCTCTCCTGTTTGCCTTCCTGTGGAAATGGTACTAGAAGGGAGAGAGAATTGGTGATCTTTGAAAATTCTTTCTCAGATACGCCTTTTGTGCCCAGTCGCGAGCGAAAATGGCGGTGCCTTCTTTCATCATTAGCACAGGCCGAACTCGTCTGCAGTGTTTAGATCTGTTTGTAGCGTCGCTCGATCCGCTCTTCAGTGTTTCCGATCGCCCTTGGGTTCTTGATCTCTATTGACTACTCGTCATTCATTGATGTCTCAAGAGGACTCCCGGGTCCTAACCGACACTCAGAAGAAGCCAGTGAGTGAACTGTGAGCTTATCTTGCGATGATTGTAGGTGCTCGGAGCCTTGGTTGTGAAGAATTGTTCGTTTGGCGTTGCTCGAACACTTCCGATCCTCTTCAATTGTTGGATCCTAGTTGATCAGCCTTAGCTCAGGTCCGCCCCGTTAATTGCCGATATTATGCCTTCTGCTCCTTACGTGTACAATGTTTAGTCTATCGTGACTGCTTATTACTTCGAGCCAATGAGGAGTTATTTAACTTTGCCCTCTTCATACTCTCTCCAAGTAGCGTAGATCCTTGTTAGTTCCTTTTCTTCCGTCTCGATCGTCGTCGATCGTCCTGTCACTCTGCTGCCCTTTCCTCTTCTTCGATCTAGAGTGTACATGCCCCCATCTTCCTCAACGTTCAGCGTCCTTGCGATCATAGGGAGGAAATTTCTTGTAGGTTTCTTTTCCGACAACTTTCTGGGCACGCTGGCCCCAGAAGTCGGAAGAGAAGTCGGATCGGTGCTTTACTCAGAGTCTCTTGCTTGGTGCCTTTTATGCCAGGTTGACAGCCGACTATACATCAGGTACTGTTTTTGCCTTCAACATTGATCTTTCTGCCTTCAAAGTAGTTTCGATTAGTCGACACATTTGCCTTAGATCTAGTGAACCCAGCATACCGAGGAGTTCAGTGGACATGCACCTTGATAGCATATCTTTATTTGTGCTACGGAGGGTACGCTCGCGCCTGGATCCTAGCATCGGTATCACGATCATGCGCCACGACATCTCACATCTAAGTTGTCGATTCCGAGGCTAAGGACACAAGATCGCCCCGGGCCGGTGGAGGCGATCACCCTCCAGCTTAGTTTGCAGAGCTCAGGCTGACGAGTCTAGGTTCGACGCTTGGAGCTTTGCGTCTTTCGCCGTCGATGATCCGATAGTACGGGAATTGCCATCCCGCGTAGTATCGAAGTGCATGTTACTGCAACGCGCACTCAAATGACAACGAATGTCGATTATCCGACTCGATTGTGCGTTGTGTACCCCCACGTTGCAAAGCGTTCAACTGAACTCACTGGGTCTTTGCGCACACGCACGATTCTTGACAATCACGATTTGTCGAGGAGATGGACGGACGCAAAATCGCCTAGGGCTTGCTAGCAAGTCTTATGAAGCCACCGGTAGTGAGCAGTGTTTTCTATGTCAGATTGCAGGGGTTCTTAACTGCAATTATCTGTCCTATAATGGTCAAACTTAGCGTTCGTACAGGGAGCCGACATCAGCTCCATGCGTCATGTTTTGGATTTAGTGATTACGTTCAGTCAGAGCGGTAATGACAATTTTACTAACGTCTCTGCGTGTGCAATTCTCGTCGTTGCAGGATGGTTAATGTTTGTGGCGACGAGACAGTAGATTTGGAAAGGATATAAATCATTGCCTTTTCGGTTCAGATAGGAGATATAGTACACATTCAAAATGGAGAGCTTTGCCACACCTTACTCCGTTATTTTCTATGATGGGGAGCAGGAGCACGATAAAGGGCATGTTGGCGTCCACTCTGTGCTTACATTCAAGCGCTTCCAGGCAATTATGAGTCAGAAAACAGGGATTCCTGCCTATCAGTTGTCTTCAGTTTTTGTTTGTCGGAGAACTCTGAAGGACACAGAGAAAAGGCAGAAGCTACCAATCAACGAGAACACCAATTTCAATATCATCCTTAATCAGCATAATCCTAGCAGGGAAAGAGATTGTCATTTTCTTGTATCCATGAAAAAATCCAAAAAGGAGCGGAAGGTAACCAGGAAGCGCAGTGCTGAAGCGGAGAACGCAGACGACGAGGATTCAAATTCGTCCCGGGGTGATCTGTCCCCTTCAGATGAACGCCCTAAGACTGGGAGTGCAGATGAAACTTTTTCACCGGAGGCAACGTCTCCGCCGAGCTTCATGCAGCGGCCTTCGTCACCATCTGCCATTCCTGTTGGTAATGGCAACAAGCCAAGACCCGGTAGCGGTTCTCCACCGGGGAAGATGACCTTGGGAGGTGATTTTAAAGTTGAGAGGACGCTCCTGAGGCGGGAAGGAGTGGGGCAGAATGGCTTTGCCAGTCCGAGGTCGGGATGGGCGAATGGAGTTTCCAGTCAGCGAGTAGAAGGTTTCAATGTCCTGTCGGGTGGTGGGAAAGCAGAGGGTCATACCTTGCAGACTTCTAACGGTTCCGCATTGCAGCAAGAAGACAGGAGAAATCTCGAAAAGCACTGGAGTCAATCTGGCGCAATTCAGGAAGATGGATCATTCAGGCAGTCTGAAAAGGCTAATGGTCATTCCTCTGGGCACCCGCAACTTCATCACTCCTCCGGTTTAGATGTGATCCACCAAGATAGATTCAACGATGCCAATCCACAAGGAAATGGAGCAAGACATGCTTCGGCGATTCTGGCCAGAAATGGTTCTGCAAAGGATTTCTCGGTTTCACCTGTTCTACAAAGAAGTAGTTCCATGTCCTCTGCATCGAACGCCTCCAGGTCAACCTTGTCTCCCTTGTCCTCTACAGCAACTGGAAATTTCATTCCTAGAGTATCGATGGGCGGTCTTGCAGCAGTAGCGGCAGGAACGAATGGAGGTCTGACATTGCAGCAAGCTCAGGCTCATATTTCCCACCTTCAACAGCAACACCAGACACCTCTGCCAGGACCCATGGGCCCGCTCGAGCTGTCTAAGCTCAACGGCATGTTACGCGGCCTTGTGGCAAGGGATAGCCGAGGGGAGAACACGAAGATTTGCAAATTCTGCTGTTTTTTACGAGAGAGGAACATGGGTCCACCACCCTTTCATTGGTGCGTAGATGATGCCATAACGAAAGGTTTCAGGGGACCATCCCCGGCGGGACCGATAGGAAGACCCGTCAAAAGACATGTGGAGGCAGCAGCTTGATAGTGCAGTTCTTCAGGTCCTGGTGGATCAAGTTGCAGCAGTTTCTCATATAGAGTGTAAAATGAATCGTAACAAGGTCTGTATGCGTGAATGTTCATGCTGTCCTTATGAACGTAGATGGATAGACTTTTTAGTTGAGATGAATTTTCGGTAGAAAACCGAGGGAAGGCATGTTTTGCCCATACTGTGTACCATGAACGATATGTGATGCAGATGTTTATCTCTGCGCTTAAGTCTTTATATTTTTTGTGCCAAATCTTTTTCTCAGCAGCGTTGAGCCAGTCCATCATGTGCTGCGCGTCAAAGCGCACGCCCGTTCTCAGACGTTGTGGGATTCCCACCTCTCGCTCACATTTGGCACTGTAGATTGATCTTCATCTCATGATCGTCTCCCTCAAAACTGTCCAAGTACTGCCTTCTCTGGGCTATTGCTGCAGTAGCCTACCGGCCTCCATTCGTCCCACAAACATATCCAGCTTGTAGTTGTTTCTCGCCCCGCGTTACATCCATAGATGTTTTGATTCGCGTAAGATACCCGAATGGAAGACTCTGTCTGCTGTCTCCACGCGCGAAGTTTCACACCGCAACTCTCGATCGGAGTTGTTCCAACGCATACTTCGCGTTGTTTTCCAAACCTGAAACCCCACGCCGTATAAGCGAAGGCCGGACAGCTTTCCGCACGCGTGCGCCATTTCAAACCCCGGGGTACCGTTAGCTTCGTGGTGTACACGCTCCTGGCTCCAAACTTGAAGTTTTTCAAACGTTCGCCGGAGGAGCCGGACGCCACAGCCCTGCTCTTAAGCTGCAGGTGCTAGGCCCTTCGAGCTTTGACCGGTTGACCAGCTGTGACCAGAAACTCCCCCACTTTGGAACATACCAAACGGAGCCCAGCGCTAGAGTGGCGATCCAGCTGCCATTCGGCAGGCGAGCAATCGGAAGTCGCAAAATCGTGGCGCGGCAGTCTGACTCGCGGGGCTGCACGTACGTACGTTCCTACGAGCGACAAAGCACCCGTTTCCCCTTTACAATCAGCAATCGCTGCGCTGCGTCCCCGCTCAGATGCCTTATGCCGAACTCGTGGTCCTCTTCACAGCCGCGGACACGGAGCGGAAAGTTTGATAGGCCACGAGATGTGACTCCTGCGCGGTGAGCGCGAGGCACCACCAGAGTAACTCGCAACCGTGGCGGTTGCAGCCACTTGAGTGCCCGCGAGCCGAGCAGAAGACAGCTTCGCATGAGCAGGTAGCGATATGGGCACAGACAGACACTCTGCCCAGAAGTCTGGTCGATGGGTCATAAAGGTCGATGATGTTTGGCAATCTCGCCTCAACCGACAGCCAGTGCGATGGGCTTATACGACCAGACACCAGCACCAAGGCAGTGAGATGGATAAAGCACACGATCACACAAGTTGCAGCGGCACCTTCGTCACCTGATGTCACGGTTTGCGCTCTAACGCACAGTACTTTCCAGCATGAGCTACTCAAAGGGCGAGGTGTATCCAGCACACGGGCTGGACACAAGTCCCCTTCCGCAAATTTGTCATGATCTCTGAGCTCGGGCGATTTTGGCCGTGGCGTACACATCATTCTTCCGACATGAAGTAAGGGTAAGAGAGGTGATTCTCTTTGTATGTATGCAATACTGTCTTCCGCTACTTGATCTAATCCAGCCAATCCCATTGTATACCGGGGTTGAGGCAGTTGGGCCGAGGGTTGGGACAAAAAGTGTACGTGGGAAGTTGGGACCTCACTTACACTGGTGTACTGCCAGACACCTGAACCTCTATCGAATCAGCGCGATTTCCGGTAGGGTACATTTACGTGTTGGTCACTTCCATTTGATACGGAGTTCGTGGCATTGTTTACTATTGCGTAAAGCTTCCCATGCCAATCTACACGCAGTTGTTAGCACCATAACCAACGGTTCAGTCAAGTTAAGTACGACAGTGGAGATGAGATGATATAGGACACTTAGCTTTTACCGGTACGTACAGCGCAAGCACGAACTGAGTCGTCGTGAACTAGTGTGGGTCGACCTTCTTCAGCCGGCTGTCCTTTACTCCCAACACTCGATAACCCTGACACCAAGGCCAGCCCTGCAAAGGACCCTGCACGGGCCTATTCGTGCACTGATCTGCACTTCATCGTATATCTGTGAGGCGTTTCCTCCTATTTTGTCCAGATATAGTACCACGCTAACCTGCCAAGCACCCGAGTTTTCTTCAGTCGACTTAACTCCGTTGAGCATATGATGGGCCATTCTAAATTGGCCTTAAGAATAGAAGGCTGTGTCCGTCGGGTTGTACACATTTGGCAAACTAAAGTCATTGGATAAGAGAGAGTTTCTCGGAAAACAGAGCTGGTTGGAGTGAGAAAATCGTTAGAGTGGGCACTTGGCTGCATGGAGGGAAATGTGGCAAGGAATCATTCAAGGGAGTTCCACTACCATTGACACCCGGAGCATTTACAGTTTACCAATTCAATGCCGTACAAGGTATTTTTCATGAAGAAACAGGACATTTCAACATTAACCTTTCACTTTAAGCCATTTCATTTTTTGTTGTGTAATTCTCTATAAGACAGAGACAACCACACAAGTGAACATCAGCAGGTCAAACGAAAAAAAGTTGGTACTACCCTATATATATATATATATATATATATATATATATATATGAGAGAGAGAGAGAGAGGTTCTTCAACAACAGATATGTCCTCGCTTGTAGAGGTTAGGAGCAACCTGCTTTTCCCTAGTTTTCAAGTTCATAATATACGTTGAGTTATCAACCTTATCAAAGTGAAGTGGAATTATTATTTCATTGGTCCAGAACTTCATCCAAGAGACAAGAAGGACTGAACTTATACTTGTAAATGAATAATTTAATCTAAAGAGGAGCGGGCTGAGCAAGACTAGTTGTTACAAGAATGGAAGACACCTGTGTTTTTACCAAAGGGAAAGAACACTTATAAAGAAAGCAAGATTTCATTATAATAATCAATCTTTAAAAAAATATTCTCAAAACATAACCTTAAACTTAGTCGAAACATAATTTTAAACTAAGTAAAGATTATGCCAGTGGATAGATATAGAAATCCATTTCGGTCAGGATCTACCGTAAAATTTTGAATTTACTATTTGTTGGTTAATATAAGATTAAAAGTATATCCTGTTGGCTAGTTAGATTGAGTTTTCATTTTTATAATGAAAGATTTCATCAGTAATATGTGTTCCCATACTTAGATTTGTCGCAATAATTTAGAAAAATGATTATTGTGAAATAAAGTAAAAAATAATTCTTTTCTAATCCTGTAAGGAAAAAAAGCCTATTTGGTATTTTTTTACAGTTGGAACTTGTTTAACTAACCCTAAATTTATTCAAAGATGCAAAGGGATTTTATCATTGTAATAAAGTTGCTGTTAATGTTTGAAGTTTGATATTTAAATTTACATGTTCAGATGAAGATTAATAATCACATATTATGATCAATGTTGGACACTTCAATAATTGTAGATTCTCCTTAAAAAAAAAAAAAAGATAAAACATTTTTGTCTCTTAATATAATTTTCAAGTCTATCAAGAGAAAAGCTAGGATTTTTCAAATTTTGCGTTGAGCAACTTCTGAATTTTCATATTGACAAGAGAGTGATATATATATTTTTTAGATGTCATATAAATTATTTAAGCTTTTAAAAAAATCCCAGAGATTTATTAAGATGATATTTAAATTAATATTTACTTAAAAAAATCCCATATATTGATACAGCAATTACTTTGATAAGATTTTATCAAGCGATAGAAGGTAAATTAAAAAATATTTTGGATCATCGGAATTGGATAATTTATGGATAATATTTATGCCTCAGTAACATAAAAAATATTGAATACATTGATAAAAATGTAGTACTTATGATAATTATGCACTTATTTTGTCTACAATTTCCTCCTGCTACAGTTTATTGTAGATGCATTAAGATAGAATTATCTAAAACGGTTGTAACAACTATTCAAATTCTTGGTTCATCAAAGTAGAATCTTTTAAGACTAAATCTGGAAAAAAATGAAAATGTGGATTCATCTAATAAATCTTAGCCCTCTGACTGAATATATGGCCAAAGAAAAAGAAAGAAAGAAAAAAGAATTTGTACTTTGTATCTGAAAGGATATCTCTTATTTTTGTACACTGTAAAAAAAATTCAAAAATACATGGTATCAAAATTTCTCAGAGTCATATGATTAATTTATCTGCAAGCAGATATGGATAAAGAAGAAAAAGTAAAAAAATGAATCAACTAGCCAGACAGGAAATTCATTTCCTCTTTTCGATAGATAATAAATTAAACTTCTTATTAAACTTATTACGCAAAATTGACAAAAATGTCTTTAATTTGTGTCAAAGCGCAAATCTAACCGGCCATAGATTTATTAAACTATGATGTTTTTGAATATATGATCAATACCATAATCTTGTCAAAAAGTGTTTAATTGTTGTCAATGACAATACATAGCCTAAAAAAAAGAAAGTATTTGGATAGTGTGAGACAAAATTTATGTCTACAATTTTTAACCTAGAACTTATAATTCAATTGGTTATAATATAAAATATAATGAAACTTTTAAGACGAGCACTATTGTAATTTTCATAATATTATTCATTTACTAAAATTTGATTCCTTGACTCAAAAGCAATGAGATGAAGTTTGGTAGTCAATCAAAGCTTGATAAATAAACAGCTTTTTTTAGATGTGATTTACAAGGTCCAAAATATGCAAATCGATGACGAACAAGACAAAGAAACAATTTGACACTATCAAGCAGTAACAAATTAGCTATATATAAAAATGTCATGAAAAATAAAATTTTCCCTTCAAAAATCTCTGAGTAAATTTAGATGAGTGGGTAATAAAATTTGAAAAACACATGTATTTAGATTTTAAAACAGAATATATCTGTAAACCAAACGAAAGTTCTCAAAATTGTCAACAGAGTAAATGATGAACTCTGAGTATTTGTCTGTAAGTTTATCTTGATGCGATTGTCTCACTTAAGTGCGCATCCAAGCATTACAATCATAGTTTATCATAATCTTTCAAAATGCCTTACCTTGAGAAATATAAAGACTATGACTCACTATGACACACTATTCTAGATGATCCATAGAAATAACCATATCTAGCTATTGGTATGGTTACATATCAATAGCTATGGTTACATATCCGTCACATATCTCCTCCTATAAGCAAAATAATAACCTCGACTCAGCACTCAGAATTGGTAACTATCAAACCCTTGAATTCATAAACTTAAATTTTTTTTTACCCTATATTAGTAACCAAGTCCCAATACATGATAAAGATAGGTTGAAACAAAACATTCGAAATTATTTTTTGATAGTTAGATTAGAGATGTTTTTTGATTTGAAAGATATTTCTCAAATCCTAATAAATATACGTTCATTCATCTCTATTTGGAAAATCCTACATAGTGCTATATTTAATTAATGTACAACCAGAAATGAAAACTGAAAAACTCATTACATACACTCTCTAATTTCTGTTGGATAGCAAACAATATGCGAAGAACATGTCCTGGCCCTAACCTCTCTACTCCCTCAATCTTTCCGGTCGATTGCTGATCTCGTCTCCGTCGAAGAATGAATATCTTGAAAAGTGAAGGTTCATTCATTGGACGACGCAAGAAAGTTCAGGATGTTGCTTCAGTAAGAGAACTGTGGGTTGTCTTTCAGCAGTCATGCAGGTCTTCACAGGTAGAGACGCTCAACTGCCATACGCGGCTAGAATTGCTTATCTTCCAACTGTGTGCTGGAATACATTGAGGACTCAAAGCCGCGTAAGTGAAATTCGCTTAGAAGCACTAGTTTCTTATTTTTTGGACAACGTGATGTCTGGTTTCAGCATTGCAATTCACAGGCAGGTGGCATTTCCACCATCAGAAAGGTACTCGGCATATTACGCTTCTTTTTCGTCTGCATTGGCTACATAGAACATTGTACGTATTTCGCGGCATCCCTTGGCCAATGTGATCGTACAGTTGCCCTGCCAGACGAAGGACAAACATATTGGACACCGAGAGCCGCGGTAGACAATGTGGAGTTCTCCCTTTTGGATCCTCTAAGAAGAAGCTTTCTACCTTTGCCTCAGCACTGACAAATGACGTACGAGGAGTGCCACTTCGGGTCTGGGCATCTTCCACAGAATCCACGGTCATCTTTAATGGATTCTGTCCTCGAGACATCGCTCGATGAAGCCTGAAATAAACTCAACAGTAGGAAGGCGATGTGACTGATCTGATGCATTGTTTGAATGACGATAATCATGTTCCCGCATTATACAATACCATTAGTTCAATTGTAGGGGATTACTAGTTTATTCTGCTTCAAAACGCTTTCACTCTACCTCGTAAGGCATCAATCAGTTATAAATTGGATTCAAAAGCTCCTCAAGGTGAAGTTCCTCAGCCCTTTCAGGGCAAGTGCTATACCGTAAGCAACACCAAATGCCACGGGGAATTTCAAAACAGAGAAGTCGGTAAAGACGTGCCTCATATTGCCTCAAAACATGAAGAAGCATATACTGTGTTATACTGTGCCTACTTGCCAGTTCGGAGAATCGAACACGAACTGAGTTCCATTGTTTCCTTGCCTCAAGTCCAATCTTTCATTAATAGCATCACGTAGAGGCTAAAATTCAGAGATATAAGGACAGCCAACGGTCCCAAAGCAAACCTTAACCAGTTATAAAGTATACGATTCCTGGTTCTAGTCGTCCTATGAACACTATGACTAGGATCCATCCTTACGATGGTCTCAACTTCCGATCCAGGTTCTCGCTTAGCAGCTGGTCTTACAAGGGCAGTTCCTCTGTCCATGTTTGCCAAGACAACAGAAACACAAAGGACGCCCAGTTAATAAAAGGAAAGGAGGCACATCTAAGATACATGTCATACACCTGAATGGACACTTAACACTGCCAAACATCTTAGGAATTTTTCTCCTGATTCAAATGGGACAGCAAATTTACCTTCTATCGACCCCCTGCGTTGTATTCTTAGTAGCTATGACAGTTCTATGAGCCTTGACTAGATGCATACCACCTTCTGCATCCCACATCATCTCCCAATCACCATTGTCGGCATCTTCATCTTTGGCCTTTACTCCTCCATCAGGTCGAAATATCTCTTTACAATATTTCATAACTTTGAAGAAAAAACCTGAGACGTCGACCCCTTGAGATGGCCAAGTGAAGATAGACACTAAACCTGTCAAGAATGCAAAAAGATACCTGGAAAGACGGCGACATCTTCAGTACGAAGATCTTCAAACTTAGAAAAGGAAAAGATTTACGGTGGTTTCATTGCGACGGACTTGAAGATGGACATATACAGTGAAATAGTTATCAGGTTGCGCGGTATACTGTTCGACCTACACATCGCAAAGTAGAGGAGTCCATATGGGGTATACAGGCGCATAAAACGTGAAGATACTATCAATGGATGAGGCAGAATGAATAACATTACAGCTTTCTATGCTTCTCAGAGGATACACATCAACTCATCACAACTTCCAATCCACCTACTCCTACAATCATTAAAAATAAAATCAGCAAACGATATGAAAATCGGGTGAAATGATTTAGCTGTGGTCTACGGGAGTACCATGTGTATATCCAAGTTTGGACAGGCAGGAAGCATTGGCTCACTGACACCAGGTCCAAAGAACCTGAAACCGACTCTGGTGCGACTGAAATCATCATGAAAGAAGGATGGAGATTCTCTTGCTGCCAGTTGAAAGTTCCCACGGTATGCTGAGAGCATCAAGATTTCCGAAACTCAGGTTCTTCAACTATTTGTAGCACTTGTAAAAGGAAACAAAGAACAAGAATTTCCTGGGAAACAACCAACTGTCTCAGAGGGTGTGTATGGCAGTACCTCAGTAACGGATCCATACATCGCATGAGTCAGAGAGCACCCTTGATATCCGTGTGCAGAAAAGACAATCATCTGCAAATATTCATAAGCAACTATTGGTCCACTTCTACCGAACGAAATTGAAGCAAAAAAAGCATCCATCAACGTATGTACAAATCATAAATCCAAGGATGTCATTCTGCCTTATTAAAGGTAAATATTCCCCCAAGTTTCAAAAGACAGACGACCTGAAACTTACAGGCTTGGTGAGGTTCAGAAGTTTTGTAGTAGTTTCAAGAGTTAGATAATCTTCAGGCCTGCAAAGCCAACCAATTTGAATCTTGTGTACCCACATACGAAATCATTAAACTACGTAAAACTGGAATCCAATGTCTTTCATGGTCACAGCTTGAAATCACATACTGCGCGGCCTAACTGAGTGGTACAAGTGAAGGAGGATGTAGGCGAAGGAAAATGAGACAGGACAGTGTGAGCAAGAGGAGGGCCTATCTCATGTTGGTTTCTGTCTCCATCGATAGATTAAACACAATGCTGGAAGTTTCAAACGGGAATTTCTTGACTAGAATATCTCATACTTTTAGCTGTACAGCGCCGTATATCGAACTTAAAGAGCAGAAACTTCGGGCCTTGAATGCAGGCCAGTCAAAGAATCAATCACAGAATATCTCTCAGTCCGAGGGTTTGGGAAAATTGTGCACAGGTCCAGATCATAAGTGTGTTTAGTTTCCTCTCTGATGTCGTTTTTCTCTAGCAATCTATATCATATTCGAATTCCAAACCAAGGCTACGTTACTAAATAACATGCGCTAGTTGCGGCCTGAAGCCCATAAACCTAATTAGGCTGATAAAACAAATGGTGGGTAAGAAGCCATATATTGTAGCTAACACTATTGTCCTCAAAGTGATGGGATTATGCGTTTGGGTTTTCTTCTAGGACAGTGATGGAATGAAAGACGATAATTTTGATAAGCGTATATTCACAACTTACTTGTCTACGTGAAGCATTTCTGGCAGTCCCGTTACAAACTGGTACAGGTCAAGAGTTAGTGAGCTGACTCCATGAAATCGAAACATTTGCACTTAGCTCACAACAAGCAACAGCGTCTCAGCCAGTGAAATTGAATGATATAACAAAAAGACCCATGCACATAAATGAGTCAAGACCTCATCCGCCGTTTCAGAAACGTGTTGACGCTTACAAGCGACATCATTAGACTTGTACAGTGGAGTAGCTGTCAGCAATACACGGGGAATGTGTGTTCCATCTGCCAATGCAAGAATGTATTTTAATTGGCAAATATACATATTTCTTTACAGCTGTTGTGATAACAAGCAGCCTCGTGGAGAGAGATGATGCCAATATGCACATGACTTCAAGTAACGAACAGAACGATAGCGAAACAGTTCAAGTGAGTCGTAGCAATTAACATGTTACAAAAGAGATTCACGATGAAATAACCATGCATGATCAAAATTTAAAGCCTGGTAAATACGGCATTTAACAAACGAGATTGCCCTCCTCGTTCCCACAAAAGCTGAGAGAATTGGCACTTACCAGATGAAATTCGATCGGAAAGCCCCCACCTAGCATTGGCTTGAATGCTGGATTCTATACCTATAGCAGTCAAAGAACTGATGTTGCATCAATGAGAAGGTGGTTATCTTTAGAACATACATTGGGAAGAACCTCAGTGGGAACATAGAGAGCTGAAACTTTAAACAAACGAAACACCTACTATGAGTGGTTCAATTCATATAAACAGTCCATGTGAAGCGACTAAACTGTATAAGTCAAACGCCAATATAAAGAATCTGATAAGGCCTAAAAAAGGACGAAGGAATTACCATCATAAGCTTTCGCATTAGTAAAGATGAACTCTACACCACCAATAGGTACAATGTACTCTGAAGGTCCAAACGCAGCAAAGTTGCGATTGAGAATCTGAATGTTGAAACCACGAAAGAAGAAATCAATCATCGACTTCTTATAACTGCCAGAAAACATAACGAGGAACCCTATCAATTAGAGATTCTTCCCTTAAGGTAAGCAAAACGTATCACACTGAAAAACCTCACTTTCCAGAGCAAACTGCGTAACTACCAACCGAGCTGCCAAGATAAACTGTTAAAGCTACTGAACCTATGGAGTGAACAATTATTTACCTCTGGTCTTTTGGCTTGAATTTCAGCTGAACCAAGATCTTGCATCCCTGGCAGATAGTAAACAGGCAATCGCCCTGATCCCTTCTTCGAACCTCTTTCAGCTTGATCAAAGGCATGCTCAAAGCGCTTCTCAATTACGTTCCATCTGTAACATCGAATCAAAACAACAGATTATGAAGATAACTTACTTCCGAAAGATAATATTGTGAATGCTGCATGATCTACCTACACCTACATCCTGCGAGAGGACGAACGTCACCAACAGGTGGAATATTCAAAGAGAGATCTAAACTATAGAAAGAGAATGCAAGAAAAAAAGCATATGACCCTGAGAGTAGTCTAAAGCAGCACTATTAATGAAAGAAAGAGTCTAACAGCCTGATCTACTCTCTGCCTACTGTTCAGAAGTGCTTTTGTGCACTAAAATAACAAGTTCTGAAAGAGGAGTTGAGGATAAACTCTTACTCCTCATCTGAGAGACGATATCCTCCCTCAATAAGATCACCCAAAATTATTATGCGGTCTGGTTCCATGGCAAGAACAGATGAGCGAAAGGCCCGTCGCATGTAAATGTCGGAATAAAACTCTGAAAACTTCAAAGTTGTCGGAACTGGTGATCTGTCCCCGGCCTGATGAGTGATCTTTTACAATATAACCATTACAATACACATTCAAAACTGAGAACGACGATTTCCTGAGATGATCTCAACAACTAGACAAGGAAAACAAGAAACCTTGTAGGGGCCAACTAAGAATAGGCCAGGTGCGAATGATCGGTGTGAAGATTCCTTTTGCACTGATCAAATCTGTATCTTTCGAAGTTCATAAATTAATGGGTGTAGATGAAATATTCAGGATTGAGTGAATAATTGTTCATGCTAACGTGAGCACAACTTTTTCATAAACCTAGACCTCGTTCGCTTGTTACAAGGTTTTTATTTCATCCTAACTCACAAATCCCGAGGGGCCAAGTTCACTATAATTTGAAGGAGACTTAGTGCAACAGACCTGAGGATCTGCGATCAAGGCTATCTTGATAGGCTTTACATTGAAATCTTCTGCATTTGTTCCATTCTGCGTCAAAGAACATCACCACCGGATATATCAATTTAGCTGGTATATTGTCAGTCGATATCAAATATCTCGATAAATTCCACATAAAACTCCAAAAACTCAATGGGTTTCAAGGGCTGAGGTTTTGGATATTATGGCTTCGCAAACGATACTAGAGCAACACTTCTAAAATATTCGCGTCCACCTAAGATAGTATAGTTTCAGGTGGGGCAATATCACGTGTCACTGCACTTGCAAGACCTTCTAGATTTTCCAAGAGGATCAGTTTACCAACTCGTATATTACCACGCTTATTATTACGGGACAGGAAGTTCAGCCGACTGTCAACTTCGCCCTCTGTAGTAGCTTGTGGATACTCTCCAGACTCTGAGATTTTCGTGGCAACTAGTACCCAGACCTTAAATACTATGTCAGAACAATCGAGAAAAACATCACCTTTAGTATACAATGTGGTGGAAATTCTCCTGTACATGACATTTTAGGCACATGAACATCTAACACAAAGATCCCATAAGTGGCTCAAGATTCGAACAACCCATGAGTTTCGGGATGAAGTTTTTGACTGAAGGCGAGACTCGAATGACCTCCAGATGGGAGAACGGAAGCAGCAAATAGCCATTCCACTTTAGGAGTAGGATTAAAATGGTGAATGTACAGAGCCACAAACTCACTGGGGCCGAAAACCAAGATTACTGAGATTCAGGCAAACGTAAAAAGCAAAAGTCAAGATAAGCTTTGCACTTTTTTTGTCAGAAACATCGAACAAGAATTTCTGAGATCGAAAGGACACTTTAAAGGACACATCAGTTGAAGAGAGTTCCAAGTACTTACAAGCTCGATCACAGGCCACGAGCAAGAAAAGATTGGAAACCAATAGGCAAACATCTCTCCATACAGCAGGGAGATCGCCCACAAGCCAGCGATCACAAGAGTCACACTCCATTGGCCTCGGATCGCCATCCTGCTCCGATACCAAATTCCTCGCAAATTCAAGATTTTTTAATCCTCATAAGTCTGGCCAGCCGTTGATGTCAGCATCCGAAGGACCTCATTTTTTGCCACAACTGCACTTCCTCTCCTCTGCGGAAAAGACGCTCAGAACGCCTGGTCCAAGCTTCAACGCTGAAAATTGCCTAGAGACGCCAACAATGTAAGCACTGCACCATCCAGCGTCCGAGAGTTTCGAAATCTCCGCCCTCGCACTGCCTCCAAGCTCAAGAAGCCGCTAGCAGGAGCTGCATGTGCTCGCCTTTCTTCTCCTCCAGGAGAAGGTAAAATGTCCGAACCGACTCTCACAGCCCATTGCATCACGTGCAGATCGCAGCTCTGAGTGGCTCAGAGTCTCGATGAACACTCTAGTCATCACAGAGGGACACAGATTCCCAACAGAGCTCACGCCATTGGCACCAGGCGCTACTTCATGTCGTTTAGTAGCTATCTTTATCTACGTCCGCGACCGCTAATATTGACGCGACCCACGAAAAACAAGACTCTAAAATGAAGAAGTGGACTGCGAACTCCAAGATGCCGGCCTCACTCCGAGGCTTAGAAGACTGAAATCTTAGAAATGCGATGACAAGAAAAATCGACTTCAGAAGTCAAGATGCTGATGATGGTTTCCAATCCTTCAAGTATGCAGAGTTCGCGTTCTCCGGGTTCCCTTCCTTTCGTTCGCAGCCCCCTATTGTGTGGACATTTCAACGTACCGATTGCGATGATAGTATCCCATGTCTCCCACTATAATTAATGATAAATACAACCCAATCCTGGATCATAACACTCGGGACATAGACAGCCTCGTGGTAATCACTGCTGGAGTGAAAGCCACAGAATCTTCCCAACCCAGATGTATTCTAGCAACGAAGGCAACTGGTTCTCAGTAACCTTCGCAACTAAGCGCGAGTTTGTTCAGCTAACCTTCACAAAACTAAACCGCATCAGGACCAACCTTCAATTCATCCATCCCTTCTCTGACCGGCCATGGCTAAATACAAGGAAAAACTCGTTTTGATGCTTCACCAGATGCTGCCTATGAGGGGACTCCAATTACTATTTTGATACAAGGTTAGGTTTACTCATACCGGTACCTATAGCATGGTAGCATCACATATTTATTTATTTTTGTGATACTACCCTTAGTGTATAAAATCCAAGTTGAAATACCCATATTCTCTTAAGTACGATCCTAAGACCTTTGCCCAATCCTTGATAGTCCACATCGCCGGATTGCCACGAAGTCCCTTAGCTTCCGACGCGCATCTTTCGTGCCACTCTTTCACCCGGATAACCCGCACGGAAGAGAAGACCTTTGCGCAGCTATTCAAGAAATCTCGTGAGCGCAAGAATGGGTGGCGGACGACAGAGTATCGTGATTGGTTGCGCACGAAAGTATCGGTGGTCCTGATGCAGATCCTTTGGCCTTCGCGAATAACTTACATGGCGATATGGCAAGTCAAATTTGTGGAGCGCGCGGTTGCAGGAAGGCCTATTCACTGGGCACACATCTTATGGGGCACTGCACGCTAGCACATTGGCGAGGCTTTCGAGGGATCAGTGAATTATCTGTCCCTGTTCTTTGTCAACTTTTACCAAGGGATGGGTTTGTTGACTGTAGGTGAGCAGAAGCAATTTCCGCTTGAGACGGAGACAGTGGATGAGGAAGAGGCGTTGGGAGGCAAAAGTTGTCAGCGAGGAGGACAACATTATACTTGCATTGCCTTCGGCCAAAGTCAACAAAGCTGAAGATGCGGTAGAGGAACGCCTGACGAAGATGAGTAAATTGCAGCCGGTCACGACTTCAAAGTTAATTGATCAGCAAGCAAAGTTGCAGGTTCGAGGGCCAATTCTTACGAAAAGGAGATCGGCAAATGTGCACGCCTTTAGTAAGATGAAGGCACGACGGCCGCAGATTGTGGAAGAAGACAACACTGATTGTAGTGAAACCACATCTTTGTGCCGGATATCTCTGGAAGAGTGAGTCAAGATTGAACCGAAAGAAACATGAACTGACGATGAATGGCCTTCGGTGTAGGGCCTTTGGCCTTCAGAGTGGAGACCTTCGGCATTGCCCATGGAAGATTTGATGAAGGAAGGAGAAGAGCAAGGAGGTGATACGGAGGTAGAGACCTCGAGTCAAGGTCGTCGGACTCCGAGACAACCAACCTTGTACACACCTTCTGGTAAAGAGTATTTGGAGGTATCCGCAGAGGTGGCAGACAAGGCGATGGACCCCAATTCGATGGAAGAACTCATAGATCAAGAAGTGGAGAATGTGGAAAGAACTATTGATGAACAACAGTCTATGTCTTCGGGGCATGTGTCTTCGAGTACAATCGATTTGAACTGTGGCGAAGGACCTTCGGTCAAAAAATCCAAGTCGGTCAGACTCAGTGCAATAGACATATTGAGTGAGCGAGTGGTTCCCTTGCTAAGATATTTGGATGGGAAGATGGCGAAATAAGTTGAGCCAGCAATAGCGGGATTCTACGTAGAATTAGTGTGTTGCAAGATGTGGGCAAAGGTGGCAGAATCTGTGGAGGTAGCTGAAAGAAGGGCGAGCTTGTCCACTTAGTGCGCAACCTTGAAGGCTACTTTGCATGAGCGGGAGAAGCGACTTCGACAATCATATCTAGAGTGTGCCGAACTTCAAAGAAGTTCGTCACACTCCCTCTAGCAGCAGAAAGGGTCCTTCATACGAAGGCGGAGCTCGAGTACGTGGATCTTCGGGTAGACCGCAGCAATGTTCATAAGGTGCACGCTGTTGAATTGAAGGCGAAGATGAAAGAGTTGAAGGATTGTGAAGCTGTCAGGTCTTTGGAGTTAGAGCAGAGGGAGAGATTGGATGTAGATTGCAACAAATTGCAATCTCAATTGTTAGTAGTTGAGGAGTAGTTGATCACGACCGAGGCAAAATTGCTGGAGACGGGAGCGGCAGTCCAGCAGTTAGCAGACCAGACAGATGATGCGTTGTGCGGGAAGGTAAATCGATGTCTTCGTGATTATGTGGAATGGGAGATCCATACTCTTAAATGGACGAAGTTGAGTGAGCTGGAGCGCCGAGTGACAGAATTGATAGTTAACGGTGTAGCGGAGCAACGTCAGTTAGGTAGGAAGCTCAATTCGTTCATCTTTGGTTTGGAGGACACGAAGGATAATCTAGATTTAGAACTATCAATCGCTCTGCGTAGGATAGGAGTAGATAGAGACTCAGCGGGCATGGTAATTGTTGAGTTGGTTGGCGTCGCGCTTGTTGGAGTCTCGCATCACAGCAATTGACATCTTCGGTGTTAGTTAGGAATAAAGAGACCAAAGGCTTTGCCTTTGGAGTACTTTTTCATTAGTCCATTTCTCAGTTTTCAGCCTGCAGTCCTCCGCGCGTTAGTGAATTGTGTGTTTTGTTACTGTGTGCGAGTTATTCAGTTTCTCGAAGATATTGCTTCTTAAGTACAGAGTCCAATTCGGATGTTCTGAGTGGTGTATAGTGTATCTCAGGATTTAAGGAAATCTATACATTTGAAGCTCGGTGCAGTCGGTTAAGTGTGTAATCTTGGGAATTTCCCCCCTTAATATCAATTACAAAGTTGTGTGCGACTTTTGTAGTGACCTATTGGATGAATTTCAAGTTTTGAGTGTGATTTCACCCTGCAATGTGATACCTTCGGACTTAGCACTTGGAGCGTCTTCTGGATATGACATGTGCCTAAGAAGTAAAACTTCTCAATAGACTGTTAAACCGTGACATCTATATTACAATATATTTAATCTAAATTGAATTTATTCCTAAAAACTCAAAATTTTTTTATGTTAGACTTACGATATTTGTGAATTTTAGTTTCTAGTTTTGAATTTTTTTAAAATATATAACATGATCAAAAAGCAAAAAGTAATATAAAATATTGCCAAAAAAATTTATATTCTACATCAATCAAAATAGATCTAACATGTATATAAAAAAACATTATCTTGTAAAAATATGAATGTCAAAATTATTTGTGATAAATATATGAAATATTCATCACTATAACATTTTGCTATCATTAGTATGTTAATTTGAAAACACAATAATAAAAATAAATGAAAATTTTTAGATATCAAATTTTTATATACTAAAAATATAATTTAGTAAGTTCGATATTAATGTTACAATAATATGTGTCTAAAGCAAGTATATGAGTATGACGATTGTACTATATTGTTTGAAATGTTTGAAAGACGTATACATCACAAAAAGTTGTCCCACATGCTTTATGTTTTCTTGAAGCTTATATGTTTTAAAATGATAAATTTTGACACAAAGATCCAACATTACATTGATATGTTTGGTGATCTTATCACTAATCTTCAAGATCTTGAAGTATATTAATGATGTTAGAGAAATTCTTCATGTCTTGAGTTAATTCAATGTTTCCTATTATTAAATGTCATGTGTGTTATTTGATTGTGATAGTCACACAAACATTTACAAGAAATTTGTAAGTTTTTTTTTACTAATGATTTATAAAATAAAAAATTGTCATCAGCTCCAAATGTTTTTCCAGTATGGAATTTAATGTGATGCGAGGTTGATCATATTCAAAAAATGAAAAAAATATCAAATAAATTGGTTTTAAAATAAATCCAAATTTAGGGATGAATACATCGACAAGTTGACAGTGGTGTGTTAAAAATGCGCCATGAGTGGCCATGTCAAAAAGGATTGCCATGTGTAGATTAAAGGTTGATCAGCCTTTAACTAATGTGACTCAAGGATTTGAACTTTCAAAAAAAACTTGTTGAAAGTTAAACTATGATGCTAGAGACATGTCATATGCATTTTATAAGGAAGGTTGATGATATATGGATTCTAAACAATTTTTGTTCTTATCACATTTGTTACACAAGAGAAATCTTTTCTTCTATGTTAGATCAAACAATTTAGTTCTTATTGTAAATGATCAATCATATATGATTGAATATATTGCATTTATCAAGATTTAAATGTTTGATATAATCCAACTTGCAGTGTTTTAAATCAGATTTATACTTAATATGAGAAAGAACTTGATTTTTTTAAATGTTTAAATCAAATGAATTTGTATAAAACTCTAAGAAATGAATGCTTGATGTGAGAATACATGATAAAAATACATCATAGCTAAACCTTTTATGTTGAAATTCACAGTTCTAAGAAGATTTTTGAGTATGGATACAATGACAAGTTGAAATTTTTCTCAAAATCCTCACTTTGATTAAATTTTTAGTATATATCATTTAATATTGAAAACTCAAGATTATTTGAATTTATTTCATCACAAAATTTTTTGAGGTTTTTACAATTTGTACAAATTGAAAAGTCCAAGTTGAGACTAAAACTAGAAACAAGATGACATATTTACATATGAAAAATGAGAAGAATTATATTTTCAAAGTTGCTGCAAAATGAAGAATATTATTTTTCATCTTGTCACGATTTATAATTTGCAAAAAAATGCTATTTTTAAAAATTTCAAACAAATAGTGTTGGAAAAGATTGCAAATATTATAAAATCAGTAGTTGTATGTGTAATTTGTTATAAAAAGAATCAAATATATTAACAATGGTTAATTTAGATATGAATAAGTTTAGCTAAGTAAAAGTATATTGTCTATTATACACATACAACTACATATGGAAAATAGAATTGTCTATATATAGTTGTATGTGTGAATTGCAGAATAATAAGATACATAAAAAAGTATGAGTGACTATTTTTATTTTGTCTCATATCAAATTTTAAGGAGTAAAAAACTTTGACTATA